ACTCCAGTCATTCATTTCTCAAATCCAAGCAAATGTTACGAAGCTGCTCCACAAATTCCGCAACAGATCTCCCCTTTTCAAGAGACGCAAGGCAAAATTCCAAGAACAACACACACTACTCGCATGCCTCTCCATCAGTAGTATCACCGTCACAATGGCAGCCTGGAAAATTTTCTTCCCGTTAATGTAGCCAGTAGTAGCAGCCTGTAGATGTAACACACTACTCACAAGGTAACTGAATAGTCTTCGACACCTCACAACCGGTTTAGCCCTCCTTGGAGCTCAGCAAGTAGGCGCAATTCAGGAGTTCTACTCAAACCCAAATTGAACAGAATACGAACAATAATCTTATTTGCTCACGAGTTTGCCTTCAACAAGAGTGTGAACTAAATCCAGCTTAACCCCCATTTGTAATGGCTCAGAAACAGCATAAACGAGAGGTTCGGCTGGGTTCCAGTTGAGTCCCTCACGAAACCAAATTTGTTTGCTAATGAGTGTATTTAGCCAACACTAGCCTGCTTTCAATCAAAGATGGCACAGATTTATGAGGTTTCGTCCTCACTCGCAGTGAACTAGACAAAGCTTGATGCGAAATATCAGTGCGGACAAGGCATTTTGGTGAGCTCCGAGCACTCTTGAACTGCCAAATTGCATCAAGCAGTTGTGGTTGGAAACTCAGTGAGACGTTTAGGGTCACCGAATTTTGTCATTTTAACAAAGGTCAAGGACGCTAAACGATGTGTATAAGTCGATTCCTTGCATGCTGCTTAGGGCTACGGGATCGATAAACGTTATTAATCAAACTCCAGTAAAGCTTGACTGGTTAGACCAAATAAGGTGTCAAATTTTAAGCGCCAATAGTAAATTTCCTGCTCTAAACCATTTGTCGCCACCTCCGAGAAAACTTTCCCCATCAACCTTATGTTTTACCTGAACCCAAATCGAACTGATTTGGACAAGTACACTCTTTTGCAAACTAATTTGGTTGTCACGGGAGACTCCACTGTATCCCTCGTTTATGATGTCTTTCCCATTTTCTATTCTTTCGATAAAAGTGACTGAAGTCAAGGCATGGATGTTCTTAATCGATGTATTTTTTTCTAATTCTCTTGAATGGCAGTGACTTGCACTCAATGTTCGTTTGATGCGTTGCATCCCGATCAGACTACTCTTCATATCTTGTGCGATTTATCTCACTCTGTAAACATCTTTTCATTTCATCATCATCATCATCATCGACAGTAAGACATCAGTGTTTAACACCCATGCTTGACTGCCGTATGAATTGGAGATACCTGAGGATGTCGGCGCCATGTGATGAGCAGATGCTGTAAGGAGAGAGTTATTAATGGGATGGAGAGAGGGGGAAGGAAAAGTATGTGAAAGAGAAAGAAGGGAGGCGTCAGCAGTAGCNTAGATGCTACCAGGCGCCCACACCTAGACAACTAGGGTCCTCAACCAAAGCCTTTGGCTCAAAAGCCTAACCACAAGGCAGCGGTGTTTGGCGGGAAGAGCAAATGCATTACCGTTTCTACGGAACAAATCGCTACATGTTCCAACACCCACCCTGTTAGGTCACGAGACTGTGTTCGTCAGACCTCTAACCATTGACCAACCTGATATGAGAGACTCTGTCAGTGTCACGAAGACGTTCCCCAGTATAGCTCAATGAGTCGCCGCGATACACAAACCGCTACACCACTGTAAGGTCCAGTCTCTTTGTAACAGATTTTCACTTCACAAAACTAGGAAGGAAAGTTGAACATCTCGAAGAATTGAGAAGAAACGCTATGACCGAAAAAGTAGCTAGCGTCTTATATTCTCGCCACAGTTTTGGGCTCATGTGAAAACATCTGGCTGTCGGCCACCGCGGCTAGGGAAATGTCACACAGTTTGCCTACTGTACGGTCACAAGAATTATCCGAATGTTGAAACGTTTGACATATCTGACCTTTCGCTAGAGAAAAAACCGTGCGCCTTCCGCTTGACAGGCTGAATGACAGGAGCTGCTTGCGTTTGCAAACCATGGACAAGAACTAGACAAAATTACTTCTGAACGGCACCATCAAGTTATTCCTGTGAAAAATTAAATTGGGCTTTTTAAACTCCAATTTGGTCTCCGATGTGTGCCCGGTGGTGGTAGAATGGATTCGAAAATTTTTCTCCTACTTCGGCGCTAGATTACCACATCGGGAAAATGCCTATAAAACTTTTAAAAGCCGGTTCGATTGTTCACCTGATACACTTGATTCTGATTGGCTGAAGCTTGGGTGGCCTCGGAAATCGACCGTTTGGTGTTTCGCGCGTTAGCTTTGCCAGGGTGTCTACGCATTGGAGCCTTCGGCGTGGTTTTTTGGTCCAACAAAGTTTCGCGAGCATCAGTTTGACATTGTCTATGCTGTAAAAAATAAAATGGCTTCAGACGAGAAACAGTGTAAAATTGTGTTCTACAACAAGCCGGAACCGGCGTCAGGATGTATTGCCCCCTAGACTGCTTAGGCAGCTTGCTACGCAGTACGAATCAATTTTACACCTTCACAGAGTCTACAGAGTGCCAAGTCATTCCATTTAAGTGCGGCGCAAGTAGGCCAACCATTAGTATTCTCTGTTGCATGTTTCTACAGTAATCAGACTTCTCTTCATGGCATACGCATCGCCATCACGTGACACTTAAAATAAATTTTCCGCTAGTTGAGTTTTCCTCACTTTTACAGTTGACCGTAAAAATTTTAAAATCACTTGGCTAGGAGCTAGCCGTTACAAAACACGAAAGANGTAGGTGAAGTTAATCTATGCTGAAAAGCCGAGAAGCACTGTACAGCTGTTTCATCCTTATTGGGAATCATCAGCAGTGCGCATCTCACGAAACTCCGGTAGGAAGTCTCGAACCCGCGACCTCCCGGCTAGTAGTTTGAACACTTAACCGTTCGACCACGGGCGGCTGATCAGCAGTGTGATTAACTCGCACTTAGACAGGATATAGCGCCGCTCATCCTTCAATCACGCGATCCACATCACCCGGTCACACGTGTTGACTGGCTCCTCGAGCAACGACTCCTCAGCTAGAAGTCGCCCTCATCGGGTGAAGTTTGTTCTTCCACTGGGCTACTTATATATCGTTGGTAGTGTGAGGAGATTTGGGATTCTTTTTTGTGGGATTTTGTCCTGTAAGTGAGGCCAATCTATGCTGAAAAGCGCTATATCCTGTCTAAGTGCGAGGTAATCACACTGCTGGTCAGGCACTGGTGGCCGAACGTTTAAGTGTTCAAACTACTAGCCGGGAGGTCACGGGTTCGAGACTCTTCGGAGTTTGGTGAGATGCGCACTGCTGATGATTCCCAATAAGGATGAAACAGCTGTACAGTGCTTCTCAGCTTTTCAGCATAGATTGGCTTCACTTACAGGACGAAATCCCACACAAAAAAAATCCCAAATCTCCTTACACTAACAACAAGTTTAGTTTTCTTCAGACGCCAAATTAATTCCAATGTTTCCATTGCTGCTCATCCAGCTAGTCCAGTGTTTGTTCTGTTTGGCGAAATAAAACTGAAAAGATTCTGTCAAAGTCATTTTTAACGCTTGAAAAATTTTCAGCGTCTTATTTCACCCATGGTCGAAAACAGTTCAGCAGTCAGACGGATGTGGTTTATGCACTTTGGTCTCAAAATCAGCAGGGATCTCCTGTCTTAGAAAAACCCAGAAGGACCGTTGGTTTCAGTCGGGAAAAAGGTGACTGTTTTACCAGGGGGTTGAGCGTATTTCAGTAGTGAACTGTTGTTACAAACAAAATCAGCAGGGTGCAGTACAGATAATGGTGATTATTTGTTTTGTTACTATAAAGGAGATTTCATAAAATTTGAGTTTTGAATATTTTGGCTTTCAGCGTCTTTCAATGATGCCCATAATATCGATCTACAAGCAGTCATTTATGTAAAAAAAACGGTCAACTACATAGCTATTTAGCTGTCATCAACTGGTTTTTCAACTCAACATCTTTTCGGTACAATGCTGCCCTCAAAGCCGAAGAAAGAACGGTGACTCAGAAGCCACCTTCTGTCAGACGATTCTTCAGGCATGAAAACTCAAACAGTAGAACTCTGTGTCGGAAAAGATGTAATAATAGTTTGTATGAAAATTATCGATTTCCTCGACCATCTTGCGAGTAACAGGTAAACGAATGTTAACTCTCGATTTATAGGGTTGGCGCAACTGCTCTCCAACAGAAAAATCGATTTTGTTTGAATTGTGGTCGCCCAATCAGCTGAGAATAGACAATCTGGTCCAAAGCACTGTAATGTGATGATAAGTTCAGTCCGACTACAAACTCACTAAAGGTCGTACGGTTAAGACTGCCTAATGCAACCTAAATGAAGCACGAAGGCTGCTAAAACGCTAAGCCGTAAGCGACTCAAAAAGCCAGCCTTCTGCTCAGTAGTTTATCGATCCACTATTTCGAGGTGTTGAGCTCATCTCAGTGCCGAATTCTCATCAGTATTCAAAACGCCGATGAAAGTGAAATGTGTTCAACTGCGTAAAACTGACTTGTGTGTGTGTCACTGTGATATTATTGCGTCATGTTTGGTCTGAATTCACTTTTTTTCATGCGAACATATGAACAACAACGTGGATCTAAATATCGCTTCCAAAGTAGATTCTGGCATACGGGCCTTAATGGCCAACGGACTGAAACGTCCGATAATGTTGGTCCGATAAAATGCACTTAACGGACTATCAAAGTGATCTTTTCCCGACAAAATGGGCATAATTACAGCGCTGTTGAAAAGCCAGTCGTTCAGGACCCGCGGCATCCATGAATTTTCGTGTCGGTTAGTCCTCGGTGGATGACGTCTGTCACCGATACACGGTGCTGAACAAACCAGCTCAAGCCTGATTAGCGTGGCTAATCAAGTTGTACCATACATGAAATCTATTATTTATTGTATTACACTGCCACCTTTCACTTACAGTTTACAGAACACTCACCCTGAGGCTTTGGAATGTTAGGATGGTGTTTCCGAGGGGGTGGGGTGATTTCGTCCAGTGAGTAATGCAGACCACTGAGGGTCCAAAATGTTCATTTTCATCGATAATCGGATGGAATCGGCAGGAAATGCTGTCGGGAACTGCCCCCCGCGTGTCTTATTCTCTTGGAGTGTCACCGGGTAACCAAGCCGGTTAGAACCGAGCGATTCAGTGCGGCGTCCGTTCGATATGGCAGCCAAATCCAGATGCCAGTCAAGTATAAACTGTTGCAGCCACATTCAGGTCCCTCAGCAAAGTGCTGAGCTAAGTTCTCATCTGCGTTGTGGCTAAGACAACGCTTAGTTCATCTTCTCTTTGCCGAAGTTGAATAGAAACAAACTAACATCATTTACTGCGTGCTCAGAGCTGAGCGCAATGTTGAATGATCATTCAGACATGCATGGGTTGTACTACGAAGCGTAACCGACGTCAAAGTTGCTCCGTACCATTAATTCAGCACAATTTATGCACCACGGTGCTAGCTGTTTTTTTGTCATCGTTATGCACTCGGGACGAAGCTATTCAACTGTGTGCGCGTATGTGCTCAGATGATTGGCAACATACTGGCAGCGATCATAATTGTTTTTCAGGTGTTACCAGGTGCGTCTTCTGATGGAGATTTCGTTCTGTAAGCAAAGTTGATTGATGGTGAAAAGCCGCTAGGTATCTCACGAGAATCCAGTATCGACCCTCGAACCTGCGACCTCCCGGCTTGTAGTATGAATACTTAAACTTTCGGCCAAGAGCACCCGATCACTGATGTAAATAGCTCTCATTCAGAAAGGATACAAAAAGTAGTTCAGCTGTAGCACCCTCTCAGTGCCTAGCTGCCATGCCAACCGAAGGAAGCACGATGGCTGGGATACTGCCAGGTTGCCCAAGCCTCGACAGGGGAAGTCGAAAGTTAGAGGTCGGGTTTGAACCACGGACCTTCCGGTCAGTAAATTTGGGCTCTAACCACTTGGACCATCTCGCCCCTAGAAAGGAAACAGCACCACGGGATTCGCATCACGCGGTCGTACATGTTGACTGGCCCCAGATTAATACCTTCTCAGGAAGTTTCACTCACCGTGTGAATTTCATTCCCTGATAGCTGATTGGTTCATCGTTAGCCAATAATTTGTCGGACACGCTGCCCTCGTCCTTGCGAGTTACGGGTGATAAAGGAGAGAGTTTAGAAAAACGAACACCATCTAACGATGAATTATTTGTTGCGAAAGCTTGATATGACGGTGATCTGGCTATTTCAGGAAGGTTTGTAGTGCGTAGTCCTTATGGTGCTCAGGTCAGCATTCACGTGACAAGCCAACATACACACGTGAACCGGAGTGGAAGAAGTGACCCCATTAATACGGTCACTTTACCTCGATCACTAGGCAATCTACTCTTCTATGGGTTACCAATAAAGACGTTGTATTTTTCAGAATCAATGGAATCCACCTCCGGTTAGGAAAAATCAGTCGTGTTAAAAATTCATCAATTCTGTTCGACAGCACACTGCGATTTCGCTTTTCTTGGGGCTCTGCTGTTCGACAGCACACTGCGATTTCGCTTTTGTTGGGGCTCTGATTGTGTCACGGATGTGTGCGATCTAACCGATCAATATGAAGAAAATGACGCAGAGACGTTTTATTTTTCCGAAATATTTTTACTTCAGTTTTGTTTGCTTATTCGTGAACCAGTGGGCTTCGCTGGGGCTGGTTAACAAAAATCGATAAAATCACCCCAGTTGAAACCAAAAGTACAAACACATGGTAACAACCGTTTCGCATTCACTCGGTCATATAAAGTATTGTCCTTCATGAGCGCGCCTGAAAGCTCGAAACAACAAGAAATCTTGCAAGTATGGATTCACAGGTCACATGTCTTTTCGGCTACCATTTGAACATAGGTAGGCGACCGCCAATCACATCTGTGCAGGCGACGAGGTTGGTAAAATATAGCTTTCCCTAACAAAAGTGCTCGCCCCAAAATTACTGACAATTCGATGGATAACGTGCACTCCAAGAGAAGCATTCTGAAGAAAGTGCAGTTTGATGGCCTTGATAGAAAATAACTTTGCACACGTATTAACATTAAATGAAGAACACCAGTTGACTGCTCGAAGAGGAAGGATGACGGAAATGCAGCTGGAACTGGCAACTACAGTATTGGGTTCCACACACATTGGGTTCCACACACACACACACACACACACACACACTTTTTCGATGCGCTCAACTCTGTGCGAAGTGGTACTTTACCTCTACTCGGGAGAATTTCGCTGCCATCACTGAGGTTGGCTGCTGATCAGTGTCGATCGCTTTTGCGGTCACATGAAAGTGATTTTAAACGCAGGTGTAAAGGTGTTGTAACGGTATTTTTCTCAGCTTAGTTCTCGATCTGAGCCTCCCAAGCTAGCATTCACGTCAAAACAACCACCGAAGGTGTATAAGGCATATCCACGCCCAAAACGAAGTCAGAAAAACCTGTACAACGCTTCATATATAGAGCGCAGGCGGCAATAACTTTCTGGAAATTCTGACGCGTTCTGGATG